CACATGCCAGGCCATTTTTCCTACACTGACAAGAAGTAAATTAGGAAATCATGTACGTACAATACAGGAGTCGTGCCTTCCTATTGATCACATGTGATTTACATCTTACAGAGATGTGAGTTCTCGTATTCTCACTCCACAAGGAAAATCTCAATGATTTATTCATTTCAAATAAAAAATAGAAGGTAGATGAGAAGAATGACTTCACAGACGCCTCGTTCTCGGGGCACTGGTGCGAGGCTCTCGCGCGCACTGCCCGAAGGGCTCCGTGTGCAAGTCCCTCTAATTAACAAGGTGAATCAGGCGGCAGCTCTCTAATTAGTGAGCATGACAAGCCGGCGGAAACAGGCAGACAGACTGGTACACAGAGCTGGCCAACAAAGGCACAGCACATTCCGAATTAAAAAAAAAAAAAAAAAATGCAGATTTCTGCCAAATAACTATTAAAAGTAAGATGTTTGGCGGGGGGAGAACACCTCATTCTGACGCTGGCGTCTCATGTGCACCCCTCACCCATTCTCAGGGATTACCAGCTCTTTGGCAAGACAGGGTTTCTTTCCCTCAGCTCTTTGTGCAACATTTCCAGGCAAGGCGGGCATTTTTACTTGAAATAAGAATCAACATCTTCATTTGGGAGTTCTGATCGATTTGTGTGTGTTTTAGCCCAGGAAGTAGTACCTGCCACTTCTCATTCCTAATTCTTCCAAAAACTGGAGATGGCTGATGCGAAACCCTCTCGGGAGACATACTCAGAGCTGCTCAGTCCCACGGGACCTGTGGCAAGGAGGGTCCAAAGGGCAGAAACAAAGGGAGACTCCCAACTCTCCAAAGAGGGGCAGAGCCCCGGCTTAGCCGCAAGGGGAGCCTCGGCTGCAGAGGGCATACCAGCCGCTTGCCCTGGTTTTACCTGGTTAACGGCCAACGATGGCTAGCTAGTCCTCTGAGCGTGCCCAGCAGCTGGGGAGGGGTCCTGAGGGCAGCCGCCAGATGAGCTCCTCTCCGCGTCAGCTCAGCTTTGTGGGTGCAGCCTGCGGTCACCCACAGCATGACTGTGTGTCGGTGGGGACACCACCATTCACGTCCACCTCCTCGTCGATGGCACCTTGCAGCCTGGTGGGTTTGACCTCACTGACGACTGTGAATGACCTTGCCCTCTTTCTGTTCCGGCAGCATCCAGTGTAGCTCAAAAGGTAATTTCTTTCTCTCTCTTTTTAATGTTTATTTTATTTTTGAGAGAGAGCGAGCAGGGGAGGAGCGGCAAGAGACGGGACAGAGGATCTGAAGCAGGCTCTGCACTGATAGCAGAGAGCCTGATGCAGGGCTCGAACTCAGGAGCCATGAGATCATGACCTGAGCCGCAGTCAGATACTTAACCGACTAAGTCAGCCACCCAGGTGCCCCTCAAGAAGTACTTTCTTTAGCAGCAGGGATAAGTTGTTAGCTAACTGCTAAAAACAGTCTTCTGGAGGGAGAACAGACTGACTCTGATTTGGATACCACACCTATTGGACACGAGCTCTGTGCCAAACACGGGGCGGGGCATTTCTGCTGCAGCGGGCACTGATGTTACGATTGTGGTCAAGTCATAGAAACAGGGCATCAGGAGGGTGAAAAAGTGTGCCATGAGTCCTTCAGAAAATGCTTCTGCAGGGGCACCTGGGTGGCTCAGTCAGGTGTCTGACTCTTGATCTCAGCTCAGATCTTGACCTTATGGTCATGAGTTCAAGCCCCACATCGGGCTCTATGCTGGGCATGAAGCCTACTTAAAAAAATGCCTCTGGGGTGCCTGGGTGGCTCAGTCGGTTAAACACCCGACTCTTGGTTTCTGCTCAGGTCATGATCTTGCAGCTTCGTGGCTTTGAGCCCGTCAGGCTGTGCTGGGAGCACCAGAGTCTGCTTGGGATTCTCTCTCTCTGTCCCTCCCCAACTCATGCTGTCTCCCGTCTCTCTCAAAATAAATAAATAAACTTAAAAAAAAAAAAAGAAGCCTCTGAAAGCAATGAATTCTGGGTTTATACCCCAATCTGCACCTCTTCTCCCTCTCCTTCCTCAGACTCATGTTCCCGGCACTCGACTGGCAGGCCAAAGATGTCACTTCATGAGACTCCCTGCACTTCTCAAGCAAAGGCCAGTCACAACAGTAAACTGTAAGACCGGTAAGCAATCCAACGGTTCTTTGCATTGGAGAGTCGTTGCCTCTCTCCAAAGAGAAATAAGAATGACAGGTTTAGAAATGTGGGGGCCTGCGTAAGGGCAGCCCTCCCCCAGCACCATCGCTCGCCCGAAACACTGAACCTCGTGAAAGATTATTTCAGGGTGGGTATCTGTGAAAAAGATCTGCGTGGCAGTCAGGAGAAAGGGGAGAAAGGGGCCAGGCAAAATAAGAAGGCAAAGGGACGCTGTGGCCCACCGGAGGACACATCTGCTCCACTCCACTGTGGCGGGGAGTCCCTTCCTGCTGTGGGCCTCGGTGGCTCCCGGCTGAACTTTTCTTCTGGCTTCTCTCTGCATCCACGCAAACACCCCTCCACACGCCCTCTCTGCCTGCTTCAACTCTTGATTCACAATTGCATAGTATCTCGTCCTACTCACGAAGTCGGCACTGAAGAGTCTCCAGCACACGCTGGCCACAAGGGCAGCAGTGGCCGAGGGGACAATAAGGACAAGACTTTCTCCCCTGCCTCCATACTTTCCCCACCGTGGAGGGGGCTTCATAGCCCCCCCCTTCCTGGAAAGCTTCCACGAAGCTTTCCTGGTCACCCTCATCACCAACTCTGAATCCCGTGGGGACCTCATGGCACTTTCTTTTTTTTTTTTTTTTTAATTTTTTTTTTTAATGCTTATTTATTTTTGAGACAGAGAGAGACAGAGCATGAACAGGGGAGGGTCAGAGAGAGAGGGAGACACAGAATCCGAAGCAGGCTTCAGGCTCCGAGCTGTCAGCACAGAGCCCGACATGGGGCTTGAACTCAAGGACCGTGAGATCATGACCTGAGCTGAACTCGGACGCTTAACCGACTGAGCCACCGAGGCGCCCCATCATGGCACTTCCTTGATGCTTGTCATATTCGGCTTCGTACCGTATTGCCTTCCGTGCAGCAGAACAAAATTATCCATCCTTTCAACCAAGTCAGACCTGGGCTCAAATTCTGCCCCTGCCAATTTTCAGCCACGCCACTGTACTTATACGTGACATCCTTAAGTTTCTGTTTCCTCAGCTGGAAAAAGCAGAAATAACCCTCCTACCTTGCAGAGGACGAAATGAGATACAGCTATGAAGTGGCTTCGTGTGGAATCTGGCATAGAGTGGGTGCTAGGGAGTGACTTAGCAAGGATTCTTTTCGTTGTGGGGACTGCCTGGTATAATTTCTTTATAATGATGGATTTGAGCTTCACTTAGGTCTGGTACCAACCCTAAGCAGTCACAAACTAGCTCTGTGACCTTGTGCAATGCAAGAAACCCCTCAGAGCCTCAGTTGCCTCCATAATATGGGGTGAGCCAGACTTCACTCACAGGTGTGGTTTAGTGAAGTAGCGGGTGCTGGGGTACTCGGCCCAGGGATCATCTGATAAACGTGAGTCAGAAGCAAGTACTGTGTCTCCTTCCTCTGCATGAGCCCAAACCTGACGAAGAATTCGAGCACGAATGCCGCTCTCAATCAAAGAACACTCGTGGAAGGAATGAGAAGGCAAAAAGTGTGATAGATATCTGTTCCTCTTGCAATTTTTATTCTTTCTGGCTTTGGACAAGAGGCCTTTACCGGACCTCGGCATTTTCAATCCTTAAAATGGGAGACAACCTGTCAACCTCACTGGATTGCTTCCAGAATTAATCCTTTAAGAAATGGAAGTCTAGAAAAAAAGGAGGTCAGACTACAAAACAAGGACTATTTCAGAAATTCAGGTAATTATTTCACATGGAGTGACTATGATAGACAATATATATAACATTGATTATAATTCCATGTTTTTACTTGGCCAAAATTGGTGGTCACTTTTTTTGCTTGATACTAAACAAAAGGTATCTGCCTTTTTAACCTGTGGAGGCAAGCCATCTGAGGTAATCCATGACAGCTGTTTTTACATTCAACAAGGGAATTGTAACATTTCATTTAAAAAACTGCCATTTTGTGCAAATAGCTTTAAGTGTCTGAACTTTCTTACTGGAAAGTTAGTACACAGTTAAAAAATAAAATTCCAAAGTAAATTTGTAGGGATCGCAAACCATTGAAATAAACAGCCTAAGTTTACTTAAGTTGGGGGCAGAATGATAAGAGATGCAGTAGTAAATTATAATTTGTCTTTAGGAATATCTTTTGGTGCTAACGTCTTCTACCTGCGTCACTGAAATGCTTATTTTATCTGAAAACCACCTAGAAATAAAAAAGCACTAGATGAGGGGCGCCTGGGTGGCGCAGTCGGTTAAGCGTCCGACTTCAGCCAGGTCACGATCTCGCGGTCCGGGAGTTCGAGCCCCGCGTCGGGCTCTGGGCTGATGGCTCAGAGCCTGGAGCCTGTTTCCGATTCTGTGTCTCCCTCTCTCTCTGCCCCTCGCCCGTTCATGCTCTGTCTCTCTCTGTCCCAAAAATAAATAAACGTTGAAAAAAAAAAAAAAAAAAGCCCTAAAAGCAAATTGGTCAAGCCCTGTGGAACACCTGTCCCTGCTCATAGAAACCCCCACGGCCAGAGACTCTGTGAGGGTCACACCAACCATACCCATGGGGAGTTCATATTCTTAGGGCATTGCTTTTCCAGCAACAGGTAATGTCAGGGACCAGGGCTAAATGGGGGACTCTTCATGAACAGCCTTACTTCTGAGTCCCCTGGTGAAAAGTCCAGCACCAGGTATATTCGCTTCCTAGCATTGCTGTAAAAAAGTTCCACCAACTGGGTGGCTCAAACAACAGAAATGGATGGTCTCTCACTTCTGAGGCTAGAAGTTCTAAATCAAGGGGTCAGCAGGATGGGTTCCTTGAGAGGGCTGTGAGTCTGTTCCTCACCTCTCTCCTAGACCTGGTGGTCTCAGTCGTTCCTTGGTTTGTAGATGATGTTCTCTCTGTATCTTGACATCTGTGAAGTCCAAATTCCCCCTGTTTATAAAGACAGCAGATTGGATTAAGGTCCACCCTAATGACTTCATCTTAACTTGATCATCTGCAAAGACCCTATTTCCAAATACGATCAACATTCACAGGTACTGGGGCTAGGACTTCAACATCTTTTAGGGACACAGGGAAAATTGTCAAGAGTCACTGGTTTTAAAGTAAAGTCTCCAAGGCTGAGGCTGAGCAGGGAGCTGAAGTGTGTAACTGAACCGCTATGGCCAGACCTCCTGGGAGGCCGCTGACAGAACTGCCTCAGGGTGGGGTCTGCCTGTTGGCCCTGCAGGCTTGGGAATGGCGTATGGCTGGCCTGTGGAGAGCCCCTTCTTTCAGGGGCTGGGTGCCATGAGGCAAGTTCTCAGGACTGCCGTAAAAAATCAGCAGGCCCATTTATTGATAGAGACCACTCATAGGGAGAATGATGTTTGGGTCCACATGACCTGCATATCTTCACCTCCCCCCCCCCCCCCCGGATGTGGGAAGAATGTGGATTCATGTGTTGAAGGACAACCAGCCTTGGCCCCATCTCCACAGCAGGGTCAGCCCTGCTCAGAGGATGAGATGCCTATAGGGGCCTCTCATAGTCAATCCCTGCCAACTGTGAGTGGACCAGACACATCTTTTTTCAACGTTTTTTATTTTTTTATTTTTGGGACAGAGAGAGACAGAGCATGAACGGGGGAGGGGCAGAGAAAGAGGGAGACACAGAATCGGAAACAGGCTCCAGGCTCCGAGCCATCAGCCCAGAGCCCGACGCAGGGCTCGAACTCACGGACCGCGAGATCGTGACCTGGCTGAAGTCGGACGCTCAACCAACTGCGCCACCCAGGCGCCCCAGACACATCTTTTTTGACATATTCCCAGGAAAGCTCCCTATTGACAAGCTGACTCTGAAGATCTCAGCTTTAATACAATTCTTATAGATTTCATCACTTAGCTCTGAGGTCATTCTCTCCATCATTTCCAGGTTCTTGGGGAACCTCACTATGGTCCCCAACTACACACCCACAGCCTTTCTAAAATATGTTGGCCTGGGTGCCTGGCTGGCTCAGTTGGTTAACCGTCTGCCTCTTGACTTTGGCTCAGGTCATGACCTCACGGTTCATGAGATCAAGCCCTGTGTGGGGCTCTGTGCTGACAGCGCTGAGCCTGCTCGGGATTCTTTCTTTCCCTCTCCCTCTGTCCCTCCTCTGTTTGCTTAATTGTGTGCTCTCTAAATAAATAAATAAATAAATAAATAAATAAATAAATAAATAAATTTTTTTTAAGTTTAAGAAAAAATTAAAAATAAATACAATACAGGCATCTGGTTGGTGACTCTTGATCTCGGGGTTGTGAGTTTGAGCCCCATGTTGAATGTAGAGATTACTTTTTTAAAAAATTAAAATTAAGGGGCACCTGAGTGGCTCAGTCGGTTAAGCATCCAACTTTGGCTCAGGTCATGATCTCACGGTTCGTGATTTCGAGCCCTGTGTCGGGCTCTGTGCTGACAGCTCAGAACTGGAGCCTGCTTCAGATTCTGTGTCTCCCTCTCTCTTCCCCCTCCCTGCTCACACTCTGTCTCTCTCTCTCTCAAAAATAAATAAATATTAAAAAAATAAAATAAAAAGGGGCACCTGGGTGGCTCAGTCGGTTAAGCATCCGACTTTGGCTCAGGTCATGATCTCACAGTTTGTGGGTTCGAGCCTCTCATTGGGCTCTGTGCTGACAGCCAGAGCCTGGAGCGCACTTCAGATTCTGTGCCTCCCTCTCGCCCTCTGCCCCTCTCCTGTTTGAGCTCTGTCTCTCTGTCTGTCAAATATATAAATATTTAATTTTTTTTTTTAATTTTTAAAACAATTTTAAAAATCAACATTCACGGGCACCTGGGTGGGTCAGTCGGTTAAGTGTCCCAACTCTTTAATTTTTTTTAATGTTTATTTATTTTTGACAGAGAGAAAGAGAGAGAGAGAGAGAGAGAGAGAGAGAGAGAGCATGAGCAGGGGAGGGGCAGAGAGACACAGAATCCAAAGCAGGCTCCAGGCTCTGAGCTGTCAGCACAGAGCCAGACACGGGGCTCGAACTCACAGATGGTGAGATCATGACCTGAGCCGAAGTTGGAGGCTCAACCGACTGAGCCACCCAGGTGCCCCTAAGTGTCCCAACTCTTGATTTCAGCTCAGGTCATGATGTCATGGTTAATTTTGTGAAATCAAGCCCAGTGTAGGGCTCCCACTAACAGCATGGAAGCTGCTTTGGATTCTCTTTAAAAAATTTCTCTGTCCCCCTTCCCTGCTCATGCTCTTCCTTTCTCTCAAAATAAATAAACTTTAAAATCATCATTCTAAATGAGAAGTTGAGATCATGGACATAAATAACTAGTTTTTTTACTAAATATGAGGTGATTCCTTTCATCTAGACTTCATTTCATCTACATCTTCCTAAGAGTGAACATCTCGATCTTTACTGTCTTGTTGAATACAATTAGCACCTGATTCCTGCTTTTTAAGTTCAGACTCACTTCCCATTTATATCTCTGACACCTCCCTACAGCCTCCTTGACTTGCCCAACACATTTGTCAGATATTAGGGTTTTGCAGAAGACAGATTTCTTACCCTTTGGGGTAACTTGGGGACATTAATAGACTTTTGGGAGGCTTGACATGTAGATAGAGTCTCTGGCCAAAAAAAAAAAAAAAAAAAGGAGTGGAAAAAGTTATTAAAATAGAATTATCACTAGTTTTAAAAATAGGAATACCTCAAAGAAGATTTCCCCAGATATTGATATATTTAAAGATTTTTTTAAGTGTGTCTGTGATTCTGTGATATTTGTACATAAGAGCAGAAACTGCACACCTGACAGATCCTCTTTATCCTGCCCCATAGAAATAGGAAAGTCTATAACCAAGAGCTAAAGAGAAGCCATTAGAACTAAGAATCTGTATGATCTCACCTTTGAAGAGACCAACAAAGGACTCTACAATAACAAACAGAAAGGCATAGAGGTTAAGAACATGGGGCTTTTGAGTCATGTAGCCCTGGGTCTGACTCCCAGTTTCCCTCCTTCCCCTCATTAGTGCTCCCTAATTACTGTCCACTTCAATTTTCTCATCTGCAAAATGGGATTAAGTACAGTGTTGTTGAAACAATTCAATAAGGTCAGGCCTCCAGAATGCTAAGTACGGTGCCTGGCACACAGTAAAAATGCTCCAAATTCCTAGCCCAGCCAATAGCTCTACCCATCGGCAGAGCCAAGCTGGTGACCCTGTCTTCCCAGGGAGCTTGGTAGGCAGTTCTGCCCGATTTGGGTTCCCAGGCAAGTTTGACCAGATGTAGAGCCTGTTCTAAAGCCCTGTTCAGGCAGGGAAGCAGATTTGAAGCCTGCCTACTACTGAACATAGCTCCTGTGCTAGCCCAGCCAGGGGTCTGTTGGAGTACAGGGCGACTGTATGGCCCATCTTACAGTCCACTTATAGTGGCACCTGAGCAGAGAAACCAGCAAACAGCTCTGTCCACATGCAGATTCAAGCCACTGGGTAGTTCTGCTTGATTCGGGTCCCCAGCCAATGAACCATGCCAGCCTTTGAGCCTGTTCTGCTGGTTCTCCCCAGGCAGGGAAGCAGGTTCATGGCTCCACCTACTCCTGAGTGTAGCATTCAATCCCGCCTGACCAGGAAGCTTGTCCAGATCCTCTGGTCCTATAGCTATACTTGGACAAGGAACCCAGTCAGCAGTCCTATCTGATTAATCCTAACCAGCAGCATCTCCATGACCTCAGAGCTTGGGCAGTGGCCTTGCCCAAATAGAGACCCTTATGGCAAGCCCCACCACTTGACCCAGCCAGAACCCAAAACTGAGCTGACCGGGGAAGAACTATCTCTGCCAAAGCAAACCTATAAAGTCTGAAAGAGGAGGCAGCTTACTCAAATGTGCAGATACCAACTAAGGAACCAAGAATCGTGAAGAATTAGGAAGGTATGCCATGACCAAAGGAAACCAGTAATGCTTTAGTAACTGACTGCAAAGAAATGGATATCTATAAACTGTCTGACAAAGAATCCAGAATGGTCCTCTTAAAGAAGTTTAGTGAGCTACAGGAACATACAAACAACTAAAGCTTAAGAAAACAATGAACAAACGAGAAGGCATGAACCAAATGAGAAGTTCAACAAAGAAATATTAATCCCCCCAAATACCAAACAAAAATCCTAGAGCTGAAGAATATAATGTCTGGGGGTGCCTGGGTGGCTCAGTTGGTTAAGCATCCATCTTTGGCTCAGGTCATGATCTCACAGTCTGGGAGTTCGAGCCCCATGTCAGGCTCTGTGCTGACAGCTCAGAGCTGGAGCCTGCTTCAGATTCTGTGTCTCCCTCTCTCTCTGTCCCTCCCCTCCTCACCCTGTCTCTCTCTCAAAAATAAATAAACATTAAAAATTAAAAAAAAAAAGAATACAATGTCTGAATTAAAGAATTTAATAGAAGGTTCACTATCCGACTTGACCAAGCAGAAGAAAGAAGCAGTAATTAGAAGATAGATTCATCTGAAAGTATCCAGAGAAGCAAAAAGAAAAAGAATGAAAAAAGCAACGAAAATCCACATCCCAAGCGACTAATGGAACACCATTGAAAGGTATAATATACATGTTTTGGGAATCACAGAAGGAGAGGAGAAAGAGAAAGGGACAGAAAGTATATTTAAAGCAATAAAAACTGAAGAACTCTCAAACTTGGAGAAATAAATAGACATCTAGATTCATGAGGCCCAAAAGACCCCAGATAGGTTGAACTTGAAAAGAACTACACCAAAAATACCTTACAGTTAAATTGTCAATGAAAACAAAGAGAGAATCTTAAAAGCAGCAAGAGAAAAGCAGCTCATCACATATAAGAGAACCCCGATTACATGATAGGCAGATTTATCAAGAGACACTTTGCAGACCAAGAAAAAGTGGGATGATATATTCAAAATATTGAAAGAAGAAAACCTGTCAACTAAGAATACTACTGGA